ATCATGCACATTGCTATCCACCTGTGGTTCTAAAACTCTTACTTATGGCTATTTATGACTCAGTATGTGATTTAATATTTATTTTCATAATTAAAAGAGTGCATGTTTTGTACCATCATCAAAACTGTATCTTCATAACTCAGCAATACACAAGATGAGGCGTCTAAATAAGAATAAAAAAACAAACAAAAAATCTCTCAACGCTTGTTAAGCCCAAATTTCAAAAAGACATAAACTGTAATGAATGTAGTTGTGAGGTAATGCTTTACTTTAAGGTGGACATTGGTGAGTTACACCAGCGAGTCAAGCATTTCTGATCTGTTGGCACGTGGTGTTGAAGATAACATCTCCTGTAATGAAATATTCCTGCTTATGTATTCCTGCTTAATTAATCCATCCATCCATTCATTCTGGGATGAATGGATGGAGCCTATCCCAGCTGTCTTAGGGCGAGAGGCAGAGTACACCCTGGACAGGTCGGGCTGTGCCATCAATTACTGTAAATTTAAATGTTATTAAGAAATGATCATACAAAAGAGGGTTTATAGAGAATACTGTTAAATGTTCCATTTCTATGCCATATGTGGGAACAATTTCCAGAGTGTGATCACAGTGCTGTGTGGGCTCATTCACATTTTCAGAGAAACCAAGTGAGTCTAAAAATAGAATACATCCACTGTTAAGGCTCCTGCTTTCAGCATCTAGATGAATATTATAACTGTCCGCTGCTATTATTTTATCTAAACTGAGCACTAAACCAGATAAAAAAAAGACTGAGAAATCAGATGAAAACTCTGAGTAAGGGCAGGTGGATGATAGATAACAACAAACTACAACCCTTTGCCAGTGAGGGACAGGTCTAACAGTCAAGCTGTCAAATGAAGGCTTTCTATAGCTGACAATGTATTTATATAACACATAATACAATTAATATGCCCACACTTGAATGATTTGTGAAACTCATGATCTGATAAGAAAATAGAAGCCCTTATTTAAATGTTACTCTAACATTTAGAAGTACAAAGTGTAAAACTGATTATATATATTATATATAAGTTGTAAAGTTACTTACTCACTGATAAGTGACTACAGCTCAGAACACATGCTCATACAGAATTACTCATACCCTCACCAGGGACCTTACCACCCTTGGTGACCACAGAGCTTATCCATGCCTAAAAATAGCCCTGGTTCAATTTGTCAGAAACTTCAACATCTGCCAGCATTCAGAGTCCAATAAGGTACTGACCTTCACTGAAAGAGACAACCATCATGGCTACTGTGCAGCATGCTTTATGTGGGTTCAAAGTAAACTCTAAGGATAAGTATGTGTTGTTATACGGCAATAGAAAGCTTTGGTAAATTCATTATACATCCTGCGCAATGATAATATAATAAGCAGTAATGTTAAAAGAACAACAAAAAGCTATAAAGTGTTAGCATTTCATTTGTCTTGTCACATTCTAGCATAGCTCTGCAAAGTATGTCAGTATTGTGATTACCAGAGCCCGCTGCCCACAGCACAATAAACAATAAACAATAAACCTCTCCATTGTGGCAATAAACCTCTCCTGTGTGTGTGTCAGGCACACACACAGGTGAGGAAATTTATTATGAAACCATAGAGAAGCGTCCTGCAACAACAACATCTGTAAACGCACAAGTGTCAAGACAAACAATAACCCCAAGTACATACAGAAGGCTAGAGCCTATTCAAATGCATGTGCATATTTTTACCAGGTTTAAAAAAACAAATTCACACAGCATTCAACAGTCAAGTACTGTTTTGTAGCAAAGATAGCACTGTGAAAGTTCTGCTTAATAATAATGTTAAACCGCTCAGCAGCAACTCACAAAGGCCTGAAGGGTTACATTCATCTGGGTGCACAAATATAATACCCCAAATGTGACTCTGTGTTCAGAGGTTTAGGTAATAAATCTGTTCTCAATGAACGAGATGCACTCAAAGGGCTCAAAATGTCTGTGAAGGTATTCATTAGAGGAAGATTTGTAAGTCTCTTCTGCTGGACTAAAACCATGTTTTTAATTACAAGGTTGAAACTAAACAATCTGATGAGGCCAACAAAGGGAAAATTATAACAGATTTTTGGGGGATGAAACTTATTAATACTAAGCAAACTGGTGGTTAACAAAGTAATGCTTTTTTACTATTGTGATAGTTAATCACATTAACTAATAGCTCATTTTGAAAAAAGCACCCTTTATTTAAGTATTGGTTACTACTATGTAATGCAATTTGGCTTGTGTTAGAATTTAATTAAATAACTAAAGCTTTTAAATAAATGGTTTGGCAAAAGCTCAATATTTGTTTGCAAAAATAAAGCAGAAAGCAGCATAACATGGCAATATTTCAACATTTCAAAATAAATTTAAAAAATCAAAATTTATTTATATAGCACATATTAAAACAACAGCGTTGACCGTAGTGCTTCACAGTCAGTAAAAGCATGAGACAATTAAAACAAACAATAGGTAACAACACAACAAGCTAGAACAGCCAACTAGTTAGAATCAAAAGCCAAAGTAAAAAGATAAGTTTTAAGACGTGATTTAAAAGACTGGATAGACTCGGCAGTAAGAATATGAACAGGGAGGTTATTCCAGAGTCTAAGTGCCACGGTTGCAAAGGCCCGGTCACCTCTCGACTTCATTCGAGACCTAGGTTGTGCTAGGAGCCTGTGATTGGATCATCTAAGTGCTCTGTTGGGATTGTATAAGTGGAGTAGTTCAGAAAGATAGCTGGGCGCTAAATTATTCAAAATTTATAAGTGAACAAAAGAACATTCGTCCATCCAGTCCGAGACACGGTCAGTGACACCCTCAGCAGTTGTGAGTCACTATGGAAAAAAATTTTGTTTTCTGACATCAACCAGTTGGAAAAAAATAAATCTCAGATTCTGGTTTGCTGGTGAGGGGCGGTATTGTACAAGTAGGGGAGGCATCATTGGGGCCACTGCCACCCCTGCCACTACTCTTGACACACCCCTGCTCCATGCTTCGATCTTAATCATCGAGCAAAATATGGACACAGAAATGTAATTACGTATGACTAAGACAATATACTACTCAAAAAGATTTGATAGTGTCACTTAATGTACATTTAATCAATGGATGCTTTGACAGCAAGAAAAGTAAAAAATTTCAAACAATTTGAAAAAAATAACATAGAGCTATATTCTAAAAATAACACCAAAGGAGAAATCGGTATTCAAAGGCAGATGGTGGGCAGGGCATCACGGATTACTCCGTGGAGCTTCAACTTGCAGTTTCTTTCACACACGCTCAGGACCAAACATCTCCACAGCCCACAGCGCATCTGAGAGCAGCGCAGTTCATTTCCAAAGGACGTAAAAGCTGTAAGTAAATACATGTTTTCTTTGTTCTCCATAACCTGTTAGAGCTGTTCCACAGATGTCCCCAAATACTGTTGTTATTTCTTTATATAAAAGGAAAGTGTTAGCACTCTGCAAAAATATGCTGCAGGACTCAATTCATTTATTTACTAACGTAGCGTCGCATTTTTAAGGGAATTTCCGAGGTTGAAAAATCGACAGATTTAAAAGAAAAAAAGAGAAAAAAACGTTCATGCTTTCTTAAAAAAAATAATAGCTTCATTTTCTATTTAGTGCAGCTTAAAAGCATTGTCTTTGCAAGTACAAAAAGTGTGATGTGCTTAAGACTTCATACCTCCATTCTCTTCTTGTTAAAATGCTTTGAGTTTCTTGCTCTTATAGTTTTATTCTATGTTAAAATGCATTAATCTTAATGGGAAGACCCCACAGCTACTGTGCATCCCTTCACAGCGGTCCTTTCAGTGAAACCACACAATATTAGAAGGTTAGTTTTCATCTGGTTTAATGAGCAGTTTAGGATAAACTTATTTTGGATTGGGGTTTAAAAAGCTGGAACAAGCATGTAGAGGTGTCGTGAGTCAAGCCTGAGGTAACCATGGCCACACTTAGCAAGTCCCTGGCTCCAGTTGTTTACAAGAATCGCATTTCTGTCTTTAAGTTGTGGTTTTCTTTGGATTTTTTTTTTTTATCACTACGTGAGTGACAGGCTAGAGGAAGCTCCACATGGGGCAGGTTACAAAGAAACCAAGCCCCATGTGATGCTTCACGCTGCTGCAGGGAATGATTCAGAAATGCCGCCTGCCAGGAGACAGAAATCAGTGTTTTGGCAGCTTATTGGTACACAGTGGCAGGCTGCACTCAGCCTAAGGTGGACCTCCCACAGATGGTTGGGACATGGAGCCCCTGAGAGGCTTTTGCTAATAGTGGAGTTCCTGTGCAGTAGCACCAGTGGGTTAACCTTTAGCCATGTCACACAGCACTGAGGTAGAGAGGCGGGTATACTCTGGACAGGTCGCCAGTCAGCATTATTTTATTTAAGAAAGTCAAAAGAGGAAAAGCATTTTTTCCAAATTTTATTGCACAATTTAAACTGCTGTCTGGTCAAAGACTGATAATGAGATTTAAAAACAAAACAAAAAATACATACAGTATAAAAGTATATATATACGTCTGATTTTAAATGAGTATGTGCACGGTGTTAACAATGAAGTAATCTTGTGATTGAGATTTTTTTTTCAATTTTATTACCTGCTAAAATGTTTGTTAGAGCTCTGATCTCTCTTAGTTTCAGCATTTTTCAGACTACCAGAACACATCTGCTCGACACATCTGTGAACAAGTATTTGCATTGGGAACAAAACCTCATTCTGCTGTAGGCAACTTCAGAGGACAAAAGTATTGACTGCTTTGAACTTCTGAGGTAGCTTCATTTCCCGGTGAAAAGGCCAAAATTAACTATCAAAGAACTACAACAAGATTGTTGAGCACTGATCCACAAACTATGAATCATGAGCTGACTGAGCTGCGAAAGGCCCTTAAAGCGAAACAGGCTGAGAATTTTCAGTTAAGCAGGACGCGTAAAGAGCTAAGCAAACCTTGCAAAGGCTGCTAGGTGAAAGAGCAAATATGTGTATCAACCTAGACAAGAACAAGGTGACAATCGGGAAACTCAGCAAGGTCTGAGGTCCCGAAAAGGAGGAACTCGATGAGCTGAGTGCAAAAAGGATGCGAATTATGCAAAAACACTTGAAATGAGCAAAATAGGAATTCATTAGACAAAGATGGAAATGTAAAAAATACAAAGAAGAAATTGTTGGAAGTCCAGAAAACACTTGAACACGAGAAGATCGAAGTGATGGAAGAGTGGGAGAGAGTGGAGACCTCCCATGTGCAGCCCCATTTTTGTATTTTAGTACCATCAGAAACGACTAAACTTAAGAAAAATTGGTTGAATTAAACTGAATGAATTGAAAATGTCCAGGACTGCAGGACAAAGTCTGTGCTTTTAGAGCTGTAATAGCTCAGATCCATTTTGAGGTTACTGGAGTGCTTTAGAAAAGATATGGCCATTGAAGTTCAATTCATGAAAAATCACTCTCTCAAATGTTTTTACTCTGTGATCTTAACCACTTTCTAACAACTTCTAACAACTTCCATCCGTCACATATACTGTACTTCACTGCCTCCTCTCAATTTTGCAGATAAAGAAGAACAAGTCTGCAGCGATGGACCTTACTCACAACTTTATAGTGCTGACCTGCCTGCTGTTCCTCCACCCACTTAAGGTTAGCCAGTGAAAATAGACAAAGAGGATATCTACGGCTATTTTTTTTATTATCTAACTTTGATACATCTCTTCAATTAATCCTCTTCATGAAACAAGCCGGTTTAGCTCTTCTGGTTTTAAGGTTATCCCCTGTTTTAGTAGTTTTCGTTCTGATTGGTTGCCCTTCATAAACAAAAGGTTTAAAGTGAAGGTCTGAGCCTGAGAGCGAGTAAATCATGATAGAGCCAGAACTCTTCTTTGACATCATGTTCTGAATAGTGTTTTTATATGTATCTCATTACAGGTTGAAAAGGTGAGCGCTAAAGTTCTGGAGGAGACTTATCGAAAGTGGGTTCAGTACAAAGAAGACTGTTTCAACACGATAAGAAATGAGTCACTGCCTCAAAGTAAGCAACTGCGTGGTAGAGGAAAAAAAGGACGATATGTGATGGAATAGCAAAGGAGTTATTGAAATGTTAAATCAAACCTGGGGTTTTCTCCTAAGTTTCTTTTTGTTTGGCCTTCCAGCGGGCTTGTTCTGTAACCGGACGTTTGACAGGTATGCCTGCTGGCCAGATACTCCTGCTGGTGTTATGATCAACATCTCATGCCCTTTCTACCTGCCCTGGTATGACAAAGGTAACAACAAAAAACTGTCTGTGTCTGTCAGTTTGTCCTTTTCCCCTTTCAGTAGCTGCCAGTCTCTTCTTATTACTGGTCAGTGAGATTTTGCTGTGGATAACCAATCTTACATTTAATTGTACATTTTGATCCTCACTGCTGACACTAAAATGAAAGTAAAGCACACACTAAGTGTTGGCAGTGAGAGCTTAACTCACTAACTCACTAACTCAACTAACTGCAAATAGAAGTTATGCTGATCATCTACAAACCAAATGTTTGGATGCTCTGTAAATAGTAAATGTTTATGAGATATGCAAAATGATTTATATATCTCTGGATCATGTTCATATCTGGGTTCTTCTCCTTCTTCTTCTTCTTTCTGGAAGAGTTGCAGTGACTTCCAGGACAGAATGAACTACGGGTTTTTATATAGTAGCTTTAAGTCAGTTTTTTTTCCTGTGTTCATCAATCATGAACATTATGCATCTTTATGACCTGTGAGCAGTGATTTAGCTTGCCTCTGCATGCTTGAGCCCCCAGTTTCCCTTAACTTGTACTAGGCAGGTGGTGACTGAAGGACTAACTGTGTTTCGTCCAGTGTCCCAGGGTGTTGTACGTAGGCGATGTGGATACGATGGCCACTGGGAGAGAGAGGACAATGGACAGGTGTGGAGGGATATGACACAATGTGAGGAGGAAAAAGAGGTTGCGTCTCAGGAGGTATGGCTACAAAGTAGTTTTTTTTTTCTTTTGTTTTCCTCTGTGGGGAAACATAGTTTCTTTTGTTTAGTGCTCAGTGTGTGTTAAAACTGTGGTCCTTTCTTATCACACGCAGGTCTCCATGAGTAAACAACTCAACTCATTCCTGACAATTTGCCTTGTGGAACAATAAAGTATCTATTTGTATGGCACTAAATCACAGCAACAGTCACCTCGAGGCTTGTTTTTATTAATAATATTAATAATAACACAGTTGTGTACAAGAGCGTAAGGGGTTACACAAGTTCTTTGTACAAACAAGAATACACCAAAGTCATAAATACCTTTACAAAATGCACATTAGCCACTGAAAAAACAGGAATATAAAAAAAAACATTCAGTGCTGGAAAAAACTAAAAGGTGAAAAAACTGCATCTAAAAATTTTGTTTTTAAAACTTGGGTAAATGCAACCTATGACGACCTGCTAAACATGACACACTGCAACGTATCCTTTTCACAGTTTTGCCAAAAACTCAGTGAATTGGACCAATTTTGTAGACGGGCCGATAAAGTCAGACAGGAAACAAATACTTGAACTTATTGCTTCATTTTGGGTTAACGTTTGTGTAATAAATAAACACACAGTGTAAAATATCAGTGCTGCAGTCAACAAGTTTCAAAGGGCGAAACGTTTACTTTTTACGGTCTCCATTTCCATTTTATTTTGTACTTTTGAAAGTTTCAATAAAGCTTGAAGAGTAGCTGCTTGTACAAAAGTCCTTCACTCCCATTCAAACTACAACTTCAGCCACATTTCTTTCACCCTGCAAGAGTGTGAGTCACTGTGAAAGCTTCCCATGGCTCAAAAATAACCGGCAAATCATTCATTCAAAATAGCTCCATTAAGAAAATTATAAGCCTGCGGTGAAAAGAAGCCAGGACGGCTTGCTTCCAAGAGCACTGATGTATTCAACTCGTCCTGATATGGTGAATGACAATCATCTGATAATGCCAAAAGTTTTTATCTGCAAACAAAGCAGAGGCCCTTCCTGATTTGGCTTTCGTTCACTCTTCACTTTAAGTAATTTTAGTTTTTTAGTTAATAAAAGTGAAAATTTGTCTTTACAGCTGTGGTTCAAACAGTTAATGGTGAGCTTCAGGATGCTGTACACCGTTGGCTATTCCTTGTCCCTCTTCACGCTTATAACAGCTCTCATCATTCTTCTAAGCTTTAGGTAAGCTCTGTGATAGATGTGGAAATCTTGTTTTTCACTATACTGTCAAACAAAACTCCACAAAACATAAAAAGTTTGTAAAAAGTCTGATCATCAGATCATCACATAACATGCTGAAACTTTTATTTCCTTACTCAGTGACCGCTGCTAAGATCCGTAATCCAAGATCCTAAAAGCACAATAGTTGTAAATTATGTTCCTTTGTGAATCAGATCATTTTTTTAAAAGCGCCAGAATCCACAGCATGTTTTTAAATCCAGGCAATTTGAAATTGTATTACTCTGTGTTCCTTGGCAGGAAACTGCATTGCACCAGAAACTACATTCACGCTAACCTCTTCCTGTCCTTCATCCTGCGAGCTGTAGCGGTCATTGTTAAAGACACAATGTTGGAACATCACTGGGGAAGAGAAATCATGAAGCCGACTGATGTGAGTGAGATGCTCAGTCATCAGGTACGTCTCGAAATTTACTGCTAATTATTTGCTTAGATTATTTGGCAATAGATCAGTGTGTAGGACGTACTGCTTTGATGCTAGTGCATTCAGGTAATTACGTAAAGCATGTTTAAAGACCACTCCCATGGAAATGGGTGGCTAATTTGCAAACTATTTTATGAAAAATAGCAAGTTTTAGAAATTTTACAAGTGCCATGCAAAGACTTTTGATATGCAATTTGTATTTTTCATGGGGTTTTTTTCCAATTTCTTTTAGGCTGCTGTTGGTTGCAGGATAGCACAGGTGATCATGCAGTACTGTGTCCTGGCCAATCATTATTGGTTCTTCGGAGAGGCTATTTATCTGTACTCAGTGCTTATTGCTTCAGTCTTCATTGACAGCAACAAATACCTACTTTACATCTATCTCGGTTGGGGTGAGTTCCATCTCTTCGTAAAAAAGAATCATACATTCAAGGGGTTAAATCTGCTTTTTGTCAAAGAACACTTTATCTTGACAGTACTTTAAGCTGACATGTTGCAGAACAATAGAAATGTGTCACCACGACGCCTCTGCTCCTCTTTAGCGCTGCCTTTACTCGAGCACTCAAAGGACAAAGCACGCTCTGCATCAGCAGGAGAGCTTTTATAATATGGATACCATGGAACAATACACACAGCATGCTATTTGATTCTTAAACTTATTCTTGAAACCTGCAGTACTGAACCCGGTGATCTCTGATGCTTTCACATTAGGAACTCCACTGTTGTTCGTTGTTCCCTGGGTGGTGGCGAAGATGTTGAAAGAAAACAAAGAGTAAGTGTGCAGACGTGTCCTCATGTGACAGATCATTGTGGAGAAGGGGTGGTGACATCTATCTACCTTTTTTTCTTAGGTGTTGGGCTGTCAATGAGAACATGAACTACTGGTGGATTATTCGTTTCCCGGTTCTTTTAGCTTCACTTGTAAGATGATTTCTGCAAATAGTCCCAAAAGTCTGCATTTATATTGCATGGCTCATAATACTTTGGATGATATACATCTGAATAAATAACAATACATATTATGATTTTCTGATCAACAGATAAATTTTCTGATTTTCATGAAGATCCTGAAGGTCATATTTTCCAAATTGCGAGCCATCAACCCAACTCATTACACCGATTACAAACTTCGGCAAGTTTTCTCAGCATTTGTTTAGTGAGCTGGATCAGAGATAGACAGATCATAGTTCTGCAGTGGGACAAGTTACCTATCTGTTTTATTTGCATTTTTTTAGGCTCGCCAAGGCAACTCTTACCCTCATTCCTCTGTTTGGAATTCATGAGGTGATTTTCGTCTTTGCTACAGATGAGCAGACGACAGGCGTTCTGCGCTACATCAAAGTGTTCTTCACACTTTTTATCAGTTCCTTTCAGGTAGGCAAGAACTTGTGAGTGACCGCTGGTTTTGCAGACATACTGATCAGATATGACGTTAAAACCAAGTGCGTGATACTTCCTCCTCTGATGATCAGGCTTCCCTAGATGCTTGAGTGGAGTTTTTTTATGGTGTGACAGGACGCTTTGTTCACCTCAGAAAGGCGCCTCCGTGTCGTGGTCCTGAGTCTTTGGCCCAGGTTTTTGAGTTTGTTTGGACTTTTGAGATGGTTATGTTTAGTTGTTATGTTTGTTGATGTTCTTTGAGTTTTAGTTATCTTCTAGTTTTGGCTACTGCTCTATTTCATGTATGTTCCCTTTTTCATGTCCAGTCTGTGTTTTGTCTCCCAGGTCTGTCATGTATTTCCATGTCTGTTTATCCCCTGTCCTAATGTCAAGCTCACATCCTTGTGAGTCTTACTGTGTATGTCACTTCCTGTTTTACTTTGACTGTTCCTCGTCTCATGTGCATTATGTTCAGTTTTGCTTCCTGTTTAATTAGTTGGATTCCAGCTGTCTTTCCACCTGTTGCCCATCCTCTTGTTATTCTGTGTATTTAAGCCCTCAGTCTCCCTTGCTTTCTTGTCATGTTGACATCGTACTTCTTCTCATGTTGTGTGTGAGTCAGTCAGTCAGTCAGTCAGACAGGAGCATTAGTGGTTCAGTTAGTTTACTCCAGCTGTGCTCTGTGTTAAAGCTGAGTTTTGAGTTAAGCCTGCATTTTGAGTCCTCTCTCTGCCACACAGCATTACATGAGAAGTCAGGGAGTACACTGGTGCTGAGGGGCCAAAGCTGTGACAACGTGATCATTGTAATTCTGAACACATGTCAGAGACTTCAACGTTGTGGCTGATCAATTTATGTGTGTCACTGGGGGGGGGGGAAGAAAAGAAAAGCTGCCTAGATGTGATCTAATTGATTCATTAAGCAAAGAACATCTTGCTCAAACTAAACTGGACTATTTTTATGAACTGGTGTCTCCAGGGATTTCTGGTGGCTGTGCTCTACTGCTTTGGCAATAAAGAGGTTTGTTGTTTCATTGTTTCATAGCTATAAGTGATTTTGTAAATAACAGGCAAAATACTTAAACCACAAGTTTAAAAGTGTATATTTTTAATGTTGAGACGTTGTTCTTAGGGCTGATGGGACAACATCACAATTAAAAAACAGGCATTATTGTTTCTGTATTCTTTTATTTTTTACTCTAAATGTTCTGTTGCAGGATTTGCATCCTTAACAGTCTAATTTTAATGACATCACAACAAATGGGCTTTAAACTGCCGGAAGCTTTATGAAAAAGAACATTAATTCTTAAATAAGTTATCATCCTCTTTGGGTGCAGGTGCAGGCAGAGCTAAAGAGGAAGGTGGGCAGGTGGAGAATGGCGACGGAGACTGTATGCTGTGGACAGTGACTAGCTGTGCTGGATTCTCGAGAAGACAATTTTTCCATTGCCACAGTGCCACAGCGCAATGGATCCTTTGTGTCAGCAAGTCGACCGGTGCCTGATTGTTCCCTGAGTCCTGGTAGTGCACGCATTTTGAGGCGTCAGCAGCCACCAACCTCTCCACAACCACATGCTTCTTTACAGCACTTTCCATCAGAGTTAGAGAAAGACAACATCCAAAGCCATGTGGATCAGGATGCGATTGGATTGGACAAGTCACAGGGAATGCAGGTGTCCTTCCTCATTCATCTTAAAGACCCTGTGGAGCTACTCCCACATGTTGTGAATACAGATTCAGACTGAATACAGCCTTGCGTTCATTGTACATTTCATTTTCGGTGAATAGTAAATGAACTGGTACTTATATAACACTTGAACAGTAAATATTACAAGCTTCATTCACCCACTCACTGACACATTCATACAGCACGTTCTAAATATCACTTGGATGGCGGCATCAGGAGCAATGTGGGGTTCGGTATTTTGCCCAAGGACACTTTGTGCACTTAAGGAGCCAGTGATTGAACCACCTACTGTTAGATAATCCACTAAACCTCCTGAGTCCCAGCTGGACACTACTTAGTGTAGTTTGTATGTTTAAAACTGTGAATATGAGGATGCACTTTGTAAAAACCGGTGACAGTGATGAGTTAAAACATGAGATATCACATGAGAAATGAGTGTTATAAGCAGGATAAGGATTACATGGATATTTGTTTTTACTGACACTTTTAATGTGTGAATAAAGCGGCTCTACTAAAAAGTTTATACATCAGCCAAGCAAATAGATTTGTTTATGGGTTGATGAGACCTTTCTTCTTCTTTTGGTTGCTTTAGTTGTCGCCATAGCAGATCATCAGCCTTCATCTCACCCTGTCCCTACCATCCTCCTCTGTCACACCAACCTTCTACATGTCCTCCTTCACTCCATCTATAACCTTGTCTGTGGTCTTCATCTTCATCTCCATCTTCAGCATCCTTTGTGCATGTCCAGACCATCTCAGCCTTGCCTCTCTAATTTTGTCTCACATCTTTTTGAAAGTACCACCATCTTCAAATCATATATCATGGCTTTCACTCAGGTCTCATTACCATCTTGCAAATCTTCCCTTTGACTCTTTACACTTGTGACACTCATCTCCACCTGCTTTCCCCTGCCTGCACTCTCTTCATCACCTCTCTACTTCACTTCTTCATGTTTGCTTTGGATGGCTGACCCCAGGTATTTATAGTAAAATATGGCCGATGAGTAAACAAAACTGTTGTGAAGTAAAGAATAGAACAGTTCGATCAAGTCAAGTCACAAACTAGATCGCAAACTTAAAAGAAAAAGCAGTTATACACGGAAATTCGATGTAGAGTCATCTTTGCGAGATGTCCTGTAATATAGTTTGCTTTTTTCATTATTAATTTTCTTCTATAAACGTTATCACCCAGGAGTACAGGGATTGAAAACCCCAGCTTTGCTTTATGGGAAGAAGGCAAATGTGCAAAATTTGTTGCAGTAATTGTTAAAAAATTAATGCGATCGATAGATATCGAAAAGACTCATAGAACATACAGTATATTTACTTTGGATATAGATTGTGCATTGCTGGACACAACTCTGTACCGAAAGGGGGATCACATGTGCATACTGCCATGTGAAACCGAGGGAAGAAGAAGAAGAAGGAAGCAACCCGCTAGTAAGCGTCATGACGTCATGGCCGTCGTGCTGTCGTTGGCAACGGCGGAGGCTGGAGCGGGAAGCAAATAACAGCTTTGATATGTATCAAATGTTGAACGAGCTGCTGTTTACACGGTACCGGGAAAACTGGAAAACCCCGCATCTTATGATGTGAACAATAAAAGGTTATGTTTGGCTTTGAGCTCCGGAGAAGGCAGAAGGAACTTTCCCGGTTATTTAGTTAACTGTCTGCTTGCTAGCTAACTTCCAGACTGGAATATCAACAGGTGGATTTTCTGTTTGCTGCATTTATCAATGGCCTACAAAGGTAAAGTGCACTTTAAAGGTTTGAATGAAATCCATATAAAATACAACAACGAACACCGAGAGACAGAAACCCTGATTTTAAACGAGAGTCAAACGTTGTTAATAACTAGTTAAGCCTAACTCCAGCTTTTCTAATCGTGCAGATTGGCAGCATCCCTACGTTAACATATTCAAATATGTCCGAGTAGAAGAGTGGAAAAGGTCGGCAAAAGAGGGGGATGTGTCAGCATACACGGTAACTTTGTACACACTACACTTGCCTGAATTACCCTTATGAAATCAGTAAAGACTAGTTTGTCTCCTCACACAGGTTGAGGATTAGTTTTTCTAAAGATAAATAGAATTTTAATTGTTTGAATGTTTTGTCCAACATTGCGTCTCTCAGGATAAGACACTGAAGTGTCCGGTGTTCAGGATCAGGGGCCCTGTTCCTGCCAACAGCTTCATCCTGCTTCCCAAAAACAGCAGCCAGTCCCTGGGGCTGACAGGACGCTTCTTCTACCTCCTCTTCAGGCCGACCCCCGGCAAATACTTTGTGGTCCACCTAGATGTCGCTGCAGGGGTATCATCCCTTATTTGGCTGCATGATCCATTGTGCATATCATTCATTTTTGCTCAGAGAAATCAAGACTGCTTTCCCTCTTTCTCTGTGCTGTGTTTTATAGGAGGGTCAGGTTGTCCGTATCTCCTTTTCCAACACGTTCAAAGAGTTCAAGTCCACAGCTACATGGCTTCAGTTTCCTTTCCTGTGTGGAGCTGCAAAGGATTCAGTTTATGAAAACACAGCGAAATCTGCAAGACGGGGTAAAAACTATGCACACTCACGCTGCCTGGTATACTTAAGCCATTTCCAGTAATTGCACAGATTGTATAAGAAGGATCTAAAAAGTGAAGCTAATGCAGAAATGCCTAAAATCAGCATTATTTCTAAGAAGCCCCATCTCTGCTTTTGTATCGAAGTCTATGAGAAAACAACCCTACTGCTTACTTGAGCTATGCCCTCAGACGCTTTTTTAATGAGCTTGTGAATCCTATAAAAGTATTCTTTTTTAATACAGAGGGACTGTTACTTTGTAAAAATCACACATTTTTATTTGATATAGGTTTGGTGGGTCCAGCTCCTACATCAGTGCGCTGGACGTGTCTGATGCTGGACCTGCAGCTCACGCTTTCTGACTACCTCAGCCGCTCCTACAGTCACCTGAAGAATATCAAGTTATGTGCCAACATGACAGTGAAAAACATGTTTACCAGTGACTTACTGCTAGACCCAGGTGAGGGCAAAACTTTCAAACAATGGACGTCTTACTGTACATGTATATATTTTATATGTGCAGTTAGTTGTTTAACTGCTGTTTTTCGTTTAAAATGGCCAGATCAAGTTATGAAAAAGAAAACTGGACAGTGTTTTTCTGTGTCTCTGAACAGAAAACTGTAAAACCAGTCAATTCAACGAGCAAAGATGATGAAATATAGCTGCACACAGACACACATGTTGAAGCTTTTAAAATCTTTAACCCAGTCATTGCTTATTCATTGTTATTATCTTTTAACAGGAGTTTCCTTCAGTCAAGCTAAGTTAATGGGTCTGACCTCATCTCAGGGAACAGGTGCCATACCCAGAGAGATGTCATTTCCTGTGCCCAAGGGAGGCTCCTGGCATGATCTGTATGATTACATCAGGTACAGCTATAGATATTCAGTTTAAAGCAAAGTCCAGAAAAAACACTTTTCTTGATACAAAAACTGAAATTTTGGTGCAAAGTGGTAAAGATTAGTCTCATAGCCACGCTGAATATTTGTAATCCATATCAACAACTTCTTTGTTTGCAAAGTCATTTAGGCTCTCAATATGTGGACATGTACTTGAATACTGTCTTAAGGGTGGATTTTTCCTTTTGTGATGATTTTAGAAATATTTACACCTATCTGCAGCCTAAATTGTTATTGATTTAATACAGATGTTATCTGCCTTTACCACTGCTACAAAGTCATTCAACTTTTCCTAACCCAACAGGTTTCCCTCTGAAGGTACAAAGTTACCGTTTGACTCCATTCAAAAAGGCAGTCCACAGTCAGAGCATCGTAAGTAATGAAAAGGACACTCGTCACCAAATATACTGAAGAAAGAGCTCGCCTCACCTCAAAACACAATTATGCTTAAATCGGTTCTTTCTTTCTGGTGTTAAATTAAGTCTTAACTCAAAGAAAATGAAACTACTGGCTCAATATTACATGCCTGATTCATGGGATGTGGAATCTGAGGTGCTTGTGTTCATCAAGGTAATAATACCAGTAGTAATGTATCGTAGATGACTGGTTTCCATTTTCCATTGTATTCTCCAGGGTCTACTCCCAGCCTCAGCAAACCAGTTCAAGATCGTGTGTCCCTCATCCACCAGATCACCAACCCAAAATTAGTAAGACTGATAACATTTAGCACATTTTTCCTTCCATGGTGAATAGTACGGTATAGATACTTTTACCTGGATAAATAAAGGAATATGTATCTTTGAGATTAAGAATCCTTTTTTAAAGAGAGACCAGGCCAGGAGGACGGCATAAATTACAATAAATATTACATTGAACGTGTGAAGAAAAGAGATACAGCTGACATTCAGTACAGGCAAACATCTGAATCATGTGCAGTAACAGGTCACTACATGAGCAACATCAAAACCAGTCACTCTGACCAAGTGAACTGTTTTCTCACCCTTTAAAACAGATTTAAACTCCTGCATTATAACCAGATGTAACCAGGCCACTTTTAAAAGCCCCTTTTTCCTCATTTCTCACTTTAGACGGTCATTAGTAAAAATACTGTGAGAGCGTTTGCTGTACTGGTTGTCATTTTTACACGTATAGACACACAAATAAGAAGAAATTGGTCCAAGCAGAGAGAACTTTCAATTGGACCAGTTTTCACTCCAAGTATATAATTAGGTGGAGGCTTATGATTTTTTTTTTTTTTTAA